TGTGTAGTATAGTGTGATGTACAATTTTATGTTTATAGCATTTTATTCTTGTTGAATAGGCCACAATTGCGAAAGTAAGTCTAAAACGTTAACCGCATAAAAACTTTTATCAATCATCAACTTCGAGTTTTTATCGAAGTTAATTAACTTCTTTAGTTAAAAAAAACGTTTCTTGGTTTGTTTCAGATGCCCCTGAAGATGCTCTAGGAGCGAAAGTACTTGGGCAAGATTTAATTAATAAAACTGTGCTCGATATCTGTCTTTTATTTTATCAAAGTTCATTTATTCGAGCATTCAACCTTATATCAATTTTATTCTATAGTTTGAAATGTTGTTGCCCACCAAGTCAACTCCGCCCGTATATTTATTGTATTGTGTAATTGCAAATGATTGATTTTTTTTAATTTATAGTTCCTCTTTTGCTAAATATTGGCTTGCTTCTTGCATTGACCAATAACAAGGTGACGATAATATTATCTTTCCATGGTAGAGCTCTAATTTTAGTGATTTCTTCACAAGAGCTACAATAATATCCTCTTCATCATAATATCCTCTATCATAATTCTTTTATTAAATACTTTATTATTTCTCTACTCATAAACAATTTAAAAAATTCAACTGGATTACCGTCGACCATTGTGGCGTCTTCTCTATTTTCTTTATTCGATATTGTACATTAAAATCAGATACTTCTTGAAGAACTTACTAAACTTCTTAAAGTACTAAAGGCCAGGAGCTGGCCCCTTCTTCTTTGTTTTTATATGTAATTAACAAGATTACAATTAATAGCAACAATTAATAACAAGATATCTGAGCAACAAAATTAACTTTTTAAAATTATTTGAAACAATTGCAAACTTTAATGATAATATATCCGACCACATTAATAGAATTAAAAGGACTCCATCAAATATGCATTATTATTTAGGTGTTCATGTTCATATGCAAAACAACTAGATTTCTCTGTAGGAGAAAAAATTAGACATAAATAGTACATTGTTTACCGGGTAGGAAAAGCTTAACATTCCTGGACGACTGTGAAGATTGCTAAGTCGAGGCGCAAGCCGAGACTTAGCAACACAGAGTCCGGGAATGTGGCTTTTCCTACGAGGTAAACATACTATTTTTCCGCAAATCGTTTAAAATTCGACAGATATTGATTGATTTAAAAAAAACGCGATAATTTTATTCCCAAATAAATGGTGCTTTGAAATTCCTAATAAAATTACTTGGGTTACTATGGAAACGTATTGAGGTTGAATTGTCAATCATTTATGTAGAACACTAACAACTGTACGGAAATATCATTTCCTTACAGTAAGGAAATGACATTTACTTACAGTAAGGAAGTCCTGACTTTTTCTTCAAGAAATTTTGACAGGAATGTCAAAATTTCCTGGCGATTTGCGGAAAACTATATTTCTGTTAAAAATTACTAAATATTTTTTTATTACTTTTTGCGTTCATCTTTGTCAGTAGAACTGTCAAAACAGAGAGACTGTAAAATTGTCGTAACTCGTGTTACAGAAAATATGTAGCGAAATATTTCTCGGTCAGTTCTATCTGAAGCAAATATTGACTTAGCTCTTGGATGTAAATATAATTGTTATCGATATAAGATGGATTTTAAAAGTTTTTTTTTACTTGCGCAAACTTGTCATGGTTTCGATTGCAAATTTCTAAAAGAATTTTATCGATAAATAAAACTTCCTACTATGAGAAATAATCGCAATAGGTAGCCCAACTTGCTGTCCCCTTAAAGCCAGAATTGTGCGAAATAATAGTATGCTGTCTTGTGAGACCATTTGTGTTTCAGTGTGCTTCACTTGTATTTATTCGTCCCACGAAGAACCGACGTCAGTCGTGTTTTCTTCCTAGGCAAGGGTTCACCGTCCGACTCTATATCGGCTTCATCATAGTCACTAAGTGCAGAAATATTCAGTTGTTGTTATAAAACATTATTTTTATTTTCTAATTCCAAACCAAACTCACCGTCAGAAATACCAGAAAACTCTGAGCCAGAGTCATGGTCGCTCAATATATCTCTTTGATTACTAAATGCGATTTATTTGTATCGAAGAGTAATGCATACTCTTTTTTATGTAACAATAAAACACTAAAAACTTTGTGTTCAAACTTCCACAAAATTTATTTTGGAATATCCATCGTTCAATGGGATGATGAATTATGTATAGTCGTGTCAGTATGGGTAGGTTTATGAAATATGGAGAATGGCTTTTTTGTGTAGTTTTTGATTTAACATTTTATTATTTGTTTGTTCGATGTATCCGTTGTTTACTGCTATTTGCTTGATGATATTTAATTCTGTCTCAAAGTTGTATTTTGACACCGAAATTTTTATTAATATATGTAACATACTGTGATAGGCTGCCAGTTTATGTTGTGTTGGATGGGATGATGAATTGTGTATAGTCGTGTCAGTATTCAGACTTAAAAACAAACATGATCTAGAAGGTGAAGTGCGTATGTAGAATCTGTTTTTCTATGATTGAAAGCCCTTTTATGTTCCGCTTTTCGTTTATTAAAGTTTCTACCAGTTTGACCGATGTAAGTTTTTGGGCAGTCGCCACATTTGGCTCTTGTCGTTTTTGATATATTTGCCTAGGTTGTTATTTGTTCGGAAAGCTGGTGTTATTCCTTTCTTTTTTATGTATTTGGCTATTTTGTTGATATTTTGCCTGTATAGGTAATCGAGCAGATGATACTGGGTTTTATATCTGGTGGTGGAAATACTAATTTCAGGGCTTTTTTGTGTAGTTTTTGATTTAACATTTTATTATTTGTTTGTTCGATGTATCCGTTGTTTACTGCTATTTGCTTGATGATATTTAATTCTGTCTCAAAGTTGTATTTTGACACCGAATTTTTATTAATATATGTAACATACTGTGATAGGCTGCCAGTTTATGTTGTGTTGGATGGGATGATGAATTGTGTATAGTCGTGTCAGTATGTGTAGGTTTATGAAATATGGAGAAGTCATGTTTGTTTTTAAGTCTGATAATATTTATATCTAAAAAATTTATGGATTGATTTTGTTCTGTTTCTATTGTAAATTCAATGTGACTATAAAGTGAATTAATATATGATAAAAATTGGTCGAGTTGTCTGTTAGTTCCTGTGAAACATACCAGTACGTCGTCTACGTATCTCCACCAATATTGAAATTGTTTGAATACGGGATGTTTTGAAATCTTTGTCTCTAGATGGTCCATAAAAATATCTGATAGTAATGGGCTTAGAGGATTGCCCATTATAAGTCCTGCACTGTTATTTGTATATATTTGATCATTAAATATAAAGTAGTCCTGGTTTATGCAAACTTCAAGAATATGTAAAATTTCAGATGTAATTATTGGATTTGTACTATTTTGGTCTAAAAGGTTTTTTACTAGAATAAAAGTTTCTGTAGGAGGGATACTAGGAAAAAGATTTTTTATGTCAAATGAAATTAATCTGGACTTGTTAGGTAATTGAAAATGTTTATGTTGAAATTTATGAAATGTTGTATTTTATTAACTAGTTGTATTGTATTTTTTATGGTAAATTTAGGTGAAAATTTAGTGTGTTCTAAAATAATTTCTAACAGTTTTTTTGAAAGTTTATATGATGGAGCTGTATAAAAAGAAACTACAGGTCTTATTGGGTGATCTGGTTTGTGTAGTTTAATGAAAGAGTATAATTTAGGAAGCTGTGGGTTCATGATATGAAGGTATTTCTGTTCTATTGGATTGACTATTGATTTTGAATTTTCTAACGCTAGCTTAATTTGTTTTTGATATTTTTCTGTCGGGTCTTTTCGTAAAGTTTCAATATTTTAATTATTTAAGAATTCTATTGTTTTGTTATTATATTCTATTTTATTTATAGCAATAGTAGTGTTGCCTTTGTCTGCTTTGACCAGACTACTACTACTTTGAACCAGGATCTACCAGGACTACTTTGAATTTAATGATCAAATATATACAAATAACAGTGCAGGACTTATAATGGGTAATCCTCTAAGCCCATTACTATCAGATATTTTTATGGACCATCTAGAGACAAAGATTTCAAAACATCCCGTATTCAAACAATTTCTATATTGGTGGAGATACGTAGTCGACGTACTGGTATGTCTCACAGGAACTAACAGGCAACTCGACCAATTTTTATCGTATATTAATTCACTTCATAGTCATATTGAATTTACAATAGAAACAGAACAAAATCAATCCATAATTTTTTTAGATATAAAAATTATCAGACTTAAAAACAAATTTCAATGTGGCGACTGCCCAAGAACTTACACCGGTCAAACTGGTAGAAACTTTAATAAACGAATAGCAGAACGTAAAAGGGCTTTCAGTAATAGAAAAACAGATTCGACATACGCACTTCACCTTCTAGATCATAATCATTCTTTTAATGACAAATTTAAAATTCTTCACATTCCAAATAAAGGCCTTAAGCTATATTTGTTAGAATCTATGAAAATCAACAAATTAGAAAACACAGATATAATTCTGAATGACCAACTTGAGACAAGCAGTTCTCCCCTCCTTAACCTATTTCATTAGAGACTATAAATTGTAGACGCATGTCAAAAATAGATCACTTGAGAAAGGCAATCAGCCGAAATAGCTGTAGTGATAATAGTTAAAATAAATTTTGTGAAAGTTTTTTAAAACAAAGTTTTCAGTGTTTTATTGGTACATAAAATGAATTTCCATCAAGTAACGGTTTGAATCTATTAATTATATATTTATTTGTATCTAATGTTGCACAAAAAAATATTATGGCGAGAGGGATAACTTTTTTACATACCATTGTGGCAGCCAACCTAATAATTCCCTATAAACCATATTTATATTTAAATGTATAAAAATGAACATCAAATAAACTTATAAATAAGTGATAACTTTCAGTTTTTAGTTAATAAATGTAGTTATTACTATTGGAGGTAATAAAAAAATGGTTATGATAACGAAGGTATATTTTTAAAATTTTAACCAATTTCTTCTATCACATTCACTAAGTATCCATTTAACTCTGTCTACTACAAAATCAGGAAGTTTTATATGAGAAAGATCCTGTTTCTCATTCATGTCCTTTGGCATGGGAATCCCACCTTTTGGACCGTTTATCACAAAGGAAACCATAAAAATAGTATGGGCCAGTTCCCAGCTGGTAGCTAAGCCTAATTCTTCTATGAATTTCTGGTAAGAAAAATCTAGATCGCAATTAAGGTTCTTCAATGTGCTTTGGAAGTGCTGTTGGTAATAATGGAGAAGATTATCCAAATGATATCTTAAAACATCAAAATTGACGCTGGAGAACAAGAAGAAAAATATATCTGCAGCAGGTGAATCGTAACTGTATAGTTGAAAATCTACAATCTTAACTTCTTCTGTGGTATTTTCATCTTGTTTAACCATAATATTGTTAACCCATAAATCTCTGTGTGATATGGTAGCAAATGGTTCACGAAACTCATCAGACATTAATGAAAATTTTTTTGCAGATTCCTGAATCTTTGGAACAAATTTTTCATATGTCTTATCTTGCAGTGTATTATACACTACTTCGAAAAGGTCCTCTACTGGTGGTTTTGGAGCAGCGGGGAAGTTGCAAGACATATACGCCTTAATGTTCTTTTCGAATGTCTTAGTATCTTTTACTTTTATTGCAACTGGTATGGCATGAAACTCTGCAAGACATTTTAGGATCATCTTGGTGGTTGCCAGGTCAAAGCCTTTAATCCGATCAATATTGTCGAAACCTAAAAATAAAAAAATATGGTTAATAATAATTACTTCTACTAAGAATAACTATATATAAAATGCAGAAGTTTAAGGTAAATTCTTTCTGAAGCAACATATTTTGTAATGCTTTGTTAAAACAGGTATTTCTATTTTAGATAAATTCAGACATTTCTAATAAATTGTGTGTCTGTCAGATTTTCTCATTCCGGTTAAGCTTATGTGTTGATCAAGGTAGTAGTGGGACAATAGCGGAACTTTTAAATTAACTGGTTTTTGGTGCTTTTTCAAGGTAATGTAACGGGTGCCTGAGTTTCTCTACATATTAGCTACGTGCTACAATAGAGGGAAAACTCCTTCATATAAACAAGCATTCGTCTATGTGTTTCGTTCAATGCGCTGATTACTTGTTGAGTGCGTCTTAAATAATTCAATATCGGGCACGCACATTATCCTAACAGAAAACAATGCTATATCTGTTGACTATAGAACTAATGGGTTTACAGCCTATCTACTGCAAGTTTTTAAAAATAATTGGTTCTCATCTTAAGTTTTTTATATACATACCAGAGAAATTAGGTTTTTTCGTAACACTGTGTTGGTCAGGCAGACGACCATTGTTTTAAGTAGTAAAAATCTCTGTAACAAGAACCTATATAATCTCCGGTTAATTTTTTGGACTAATTTAGTTGTTAACAAATTTAAGACTAATAAACCCTTACGTCATAGAAAATCCTTCAAAATGGTGTTTGTAAATGGTTGTATCCTTATTTGTTGCTTAGAAAGTTATAAAATATTTCTTAAATTTCTATTTTTTATAAATGTTATTAAGGTAAAACGCCAGTTATTGGAAACGAGACAGTTATTGGACATTACAGTGTTAACTTACGATTTTAAGATTTCTGCAAGTGCTAACAAGAATATATTTTACTAGGTGGCACTAATCGTTTCTATATTACGTACATTCTTATGTTTATGTTCTGCCTTTAACGGGTTCTATGATTTTGGCGGTAAATGTTTTTGGGTTATGTGAGGGAAGTGACATTTAAGCATTGTTTTAAGCATCTGCTGTACTTTTTTTAAAACTACGTGTTATTTTTAAGGTAACATTGTATTTTTATTTAAAAGGGTGTAATAAAGGCGCTTATAGTCCCTAAGGTAGATAGCGTACAGTAATAGGGATTTTAATTTGGATTTTATTACGCCTGTCCAATACCTAAACTAGAAAATTTGCAGATTTCCCCTATATTTAAGAGGAGTTTACTATTTAACTTATCTGTAAAGATTAAATTTCTTTGCTATATATATATATATATATATATATATATATATATATATATATATATATATATATATATATGTATTATATATATATATGTCTTCATATCAAGGCGAGATCCGTTTGTATCATAAGCTATACAAAATGAGATCCGTTTTGCAAGGCGAGATCCGATTTTGGATCTCACCTTGTATTCACGTGTATATAGTGACATCTCGATGTAACAATGATGGGGGTACAAAGAAATCGATTTTTGTCTGGACCTCATTTTGCACCCCTTTTGGTGAATTTTATATTGCAGTAGTTCCACTAAATCCGCTGTAGAGGCAGTGCGAGCGATCCGTTGTGTATATGCTAAATATACATTTTGTAGACAACCCGAGATCCGGTAAATTTGGCAACATCGCAAATGAATTTTACAGTCAGACCTCTCACTCCCTTCGGCTTATTTCCGGTTTGAATAATATTATTTACATTATTAAAGAGCTCTGTCCAGAAAGGCGATTGTCAAATATCTCGAGAACTAGACGTCGTATCGAAAAAACTTAGGAATTCTTTTTTAATGGTTTTTCAAAATCTATATACTTATGCAATAGCAGGGTTCTTATTCTCCCTGCGAACGCGGTGGGTGTAGCAACTTTGAATTTTCAACTGGAACCCTTCATTTTTATTTAAATAAACATTTTGAAATTAGATTAGAACTATTATGGATATAGATATAAAATTAGAATAATTAATTAAATTAGAAATTTAGAGTTGAAAATACACAACTTTTGTGTGAATCTATAATAGCTTCTTTAACCAGTGGGAAGAGCTTCAAAATCGTCGTTTTGATGACATTTTTAGGAGTTAGATGATTTTAAGTAATTTTTTAGATAAAATTATGTAGAACACGTTGGTAAGTACTCGAAGTCTAAAAAATTTCGGAGACATTGTTTATTTGTAGTATTATTTTTTTACAATTTTTCTTCGCATATCTTCTCCACTGTTTGTTTTACAAAAAATGTCAAAAACTTATTTTAATCGCTTTTAAAAGACCTACAAAATAAATCTAACCGCGTTCAATTTGAATGAGAGTTACAAACACAAATCTGTTTTGCATATCATTTATAATTAAGGGACCAACTATGCTGTTCACGTACTATATTAAGATTCCACGGGAATATTTTTCAATATATGTAGTTCATTTATGCTAAACTTGGACACTGTACGTCAAATAGTTTACGAGCTATAGCTTTATAAACAAATTAACTTTATATTTCCTTTAAATTCGTTTACTGAAGAAAATCCAAATTTAGCTATACAGCTCGCACTCCCTCGTAGGGGAAAATTCACTCATCCCAGATACCCACGTTATCAAAAGGATTGACCTGTGGGACTCTTTCTGTGTTCGATTCCTAGGTGACTTGGTACATCGGGGTTTGTCCCAAAAATTTTCATACATTATTATCTAGTATTATATAAAGCTTATTAAGGACGTTGTAACGGCGTTAAAGTTCAAAAGCTTGTGATATATAAAACATCTAAAATTGCAACGGTTTTTCCCTGGCAGCAAATTTCACGTTCAAGAACAAAGGATAGTAATAAAAACAATTAAATCTATGTACCTATTTCTTAATTATTATCTTGTGTTAGTTATCTTACTCTATGTTAGACTCTTCATTACTATAAAAAGAAGTAACACTCTCTATGGTTAAAATTGTTCACGTTTATCACCTTTTTTGTAACATTTCACTTGGGCCATAATATATTTACAAGAACCAATGAATTTGATCTCGTTTCCGTTTACATGAGCATTGGAGCCCCTGTACAGTCTGACAATTAGAAAAAAACCAATATAATAATTATTCGTCACAAAAAGGTAAAAATAAACTCATCTTTTACACCTATTAGGAGTATAGTATATGTATGTATGTTTCTTCAACTTGGATTCCGTGCTTAAAACTGGTACCAGCTCTACATTTTCTTTACTCCAGCCAGTTAGCAACAGATTCGGGAGTCAAAGTCTTGGTGTCACACTACATACTCATACCTTCGTTTGGATGAGTATGTACACGAATATTATATATTATACTGTCTGAAGTAGGAGAAAGTTTATATGGACCATTACAAAGATTGTTAGTACTGGTCAAATACAAAACCAATCCTTTTAGGGTTGTAGAGGTTCTTGAACACTATTGATTTTAAAATTCTTGCATAGTCGCCAAATGATTTGCAGTTGGAGGGTTTGCCAACGGCTTGGATTAAACTCATACCTTTAAGAATGTGACACTTTTGTTACTTTATAATGGTAATGGTAGATATTTAGACATAACTGTAAACTGTCCTATTATAGAACCTAAGGCAGATTTATTTGATGGTATCGATAAAACTCCTACAGGTACAAGTGACATTGGATATGCTGTAAATTCATATTTGAAAATATTCTCATAATATTTATGTTACTTTCAATTGCCTTGGTTGTTAGTATTTTTTATAAAAGCTCTTGCTCAGCATGAATAATTTTTTTCTTTTCAGAGACAGTTTTATAGTGTTGGAAATGTTGAAAGTACTTCTTGTATGCTGATAAAAATTGGGAGTTCTAACAGTAAGAAGAAATTTTGCTAGGCTCTTCTCCATTTTTTTTGTATATTTAGTAAGGGTATTTGAACATTTGGCGATGCAATCTTATTAGCTGAAATTACGAGAAGACGATCTACGCTTTTGAAAAATACATTAAATCGTAAAAAACTGATCATGTAGTTTTTGTACAGAATATTCGTCAATTTTCATCCGTTTTTTTTTTCTATTGTCTACGTTTTGACTTGAGTGGTTGCTTAGGTCTCATGATGCACGAAATTCATCTACCATCATGCCAATCATATTGTAGCTTAACAACCATTCGTCTAGTTTGGTGCTGGTTTTAATCAATCTCACGATTCCTCCTGCATCTTTTGAGTTTGTATTTATATGTTTCAAGCTGGATCTACAAATAGTTGGTTAAAGTTTCTGTTCAAACTTTTCACAACAAAATTTTTTCTCATAAAGTCTTCATGCAATTCTGGAGCCTTATCAGCAAGTTTGTACATGTCCAACAAATGTAATGTTCCCCAAAAAGAATAGTTCACATGGTCAAATGCAAAGAAGTAGGGGTACATTTTTCTAAAACTAGAACAAAAATGTATTCTCCAGTTTCCGCTTCTTTCAGCAAACGAAAATGGAAATGGACTTTACGGAAAGAAACATGCCGTAATCTGATTTTTGACTCAAGTTCACTGTCATACCTGCTGCTGTTCATTAAAATAATTTAAAACTTCTAATATTAAAAATCTCAGCTCAGTGGATTTCGTGCTATTAGTAAAAAATAATGCACAATGATGCACTTTCGCAATCGAATATACAACACAACAGAATTTCAATGTAAAATCGACCCTAACAACATCGCCATTACTAAAGTCGATTTGAGGTTGACTTCAGATTATGAATCTCGCCCTTCCTCGCATCTCTGCGTTTGCCACTGTGCGTCGTGACATGCCTTTCGATTTATTTAATTTTTTCTTAAACTATTTATCCAATCGACATTCTAAACAAACCGACATGTTCTCTGATGTTTGGTCTATAACTTTTATAGAAAGCCATTTTTTGCTAGACCCAATATTTTTCGGGGTAGAGCGAGGAGAAACGATTTTAAAAATATGGGTTTTCAGACTCATTCTAAGTCATTTTGTATGAAGGCACTCCGTATACAACAATGGTTTGACG